TCTATTAGACATGCGAGTCCGGTTATTTTTTCACTATTGGACTATATAGTCTCATTTAAGCTAATCCCCTCTCTTACCAAATATGGGTTTTTAAGTGTTATTTAATCCAATCCAGTCCAGTGAGGCATACCAAACATGCCCCATGTGGCTAGAGAAAGTCATTTTTGAACATCCCGATGCCCTATGTGATTTAGTGTATCTCACGATGTCAAAACATGTGTCCTTAAAATTGAGGAGGAGCTCCTCAAAACAAATGGGATTTTGACAATTAGCAAATTTCTTTAACTTTTTTTTGCTTTTGAATTCCTTTAATTTTTCTTTTTTTGGAATTTGACTCAAAATTTCATTTGTTCTAAGGAGAGCTCCTCATTAACTTTAAGTAACCAAACCATGCTCTAAAATAAATTCATGAAATATAAAGACTTTTGGACTAACCAGAATAAGCCCTTTGATAATTTGGTCACTGTAATGCTCGGGTTGTGAGTCCTGCAGAGAAAGCAAATGTTCAATCATTGTGGTACCATTTTTATCCTTGCTCCTGTGTTCATCAATGAGACCTTGCATGAACGCATCCGTCTTCCTAGCCAGCTTCATCACCTTGTTCTCATACCCACGTTCACTCCCAACCCAATTCAAAAAGGGCAAGAAGTCAACCGGGTTCGCTACCCCAGTATAAGCAAAAACCTCCTTCATGATCTCTCTGAACTGCCTCGCCTCCTCTTTGTCCACCGATGCATCCTCCCCGTAGTACCTCTTCCCGGCCACCATTCTCATTATGATGTTGAATGTCAGCTCAGAAAACATAGACTTGAGCTCCACCTTCGCAAAATCAACATGTACGTTTTCTGAAAGTTTAAGCAGCAAGTGTTTGACTTCGTCCTTTCTGACGTTCAAGAATGCGTTTAACCGGGAGGTTGACAAGATCTCGGTGGACCCAATTCAGCGGAGGTTGCGCCAGTGGTCACCGTATTGGGACGTGGCGATGGTGGTGTTGTTGTAGGCTAGGTGCTTGCCTATAAGCATGCTAGGACGGTTGGCTAAGGCGATGTCATTTTTGGTGAAGCATTCTTGGGCGGCCGACGAGGATGATACTATAACCACACGCTGTGAGCCGAACCAGAGAGAGATTACGGGGCCGTGATTTTGTGAGAGGCGTTGGAGGGTTCGATGGATGGGGATCTTTAGGAGATGGAGATGGCCGAGGATTGGGAGAGAGAGTGGGCTTGGTGGGAGGTTTTTGTAACGTCGTCGTCGTTTTTCTTGGAGAAAGAACTTGAAAGTGAAGAGGATTGAGATAACGGAGAGAAATGTGTAGAACAAGATCTGTTGTTGTTCCATGGCTGCTAGCTATTATTAAGTATAATGAGTTTGAGTGAGGAAGATGTGGTATTTATAAAGAGTAGGGACGTGAGAGTAGGCCAAGTAATGATAAGAATCGTACGGTCTTTATTCTTCCAACGGTGGGTGGGTAGCTACTTCTTTTGAGTTTTGAACTATAAAGTTTTATCTATGACCAAAAAAAACAAAAAACCATAACGTTATCTTAGCTAGAACATTTAAATTTATCATTCCATTTGTATGGAAAATGCACTATATACATCTTATTATTGTATAGCAAACGAGGAAAAAAGAAACTGATCAAATATTACATGCGGACGTTTGGATTTGATTGTTTAATTACATTAAATATGCGGGCGTTTGGATTTGATTGTTTAATTACATTAAATCCTATTTAAGAGAATTTGGTTTCTACGATATAAATAATATTGGAGAAGGGGAAATCGAATTGAGACTTTGATTGAGAGAGCCAAATCTGGCCCCTCTTCAATTCAAAACCAAATACCCAACTTATCTTGTGGTTGTCATGCATTGTCTTTCTTTTTCAACAATTACTTCATGGTGGGGTTTAGGTAGAAATATATGACTCATTTATGTGGTGGAAATTGTGTTGACCAATGGCACTCTTAATTCTAGTCTTAGATCACTAATCTCAATGTCTCTTCTTCCATATAGAAATCTAATACAATTATACAAGGGATCAGTACTCTTCGATTCTAGCTAGTCAGAGAAGATGCAGATTCAATTATTGTGCAAATTGCAACAATTTTTTATTTCCTTTCGTTAGGTCGGTTGATAGCTTTCATCACGTACTATTCTATAATTTCTTCAAAAATAGCTAGCTACATCAGCGAATGCGTGTTGGATTTGAGTACGGCAGTGAATTGTCCCCATCTGGTGGATATATATATATTGAACAAAAGTAAGCCAAAACAATACAATGAGACGTACTTCCCTTAAAAGGCCGAAGACCTTGCCGAAAATGTAAATGATGTACGTCCCTCCAATTCAGTCCACCCTCACATAGCAGCATTGGAGGACATTCACATTATCATTTCTATATATACAAGTTAGATTAACGTGAATGGGTGACAGTAGCCAAAAGGTTCCTTGTAGTTCATATTTAAGCCAAAAAATTTAGACCCTAAATATGAAAAAACTTCTTGAATGTAACCGTAGCACTGTCATGGGGTATTACTAATTCATCTATAACGTAGATGGATATAATATTTATGTTTTTTAGGGTTTTAACATGAATTCATATTTCAATGAATTTTTCTCTCTCCCAGCAGAATTTCGTGAAAATGGATAGAGTAGAATCGCTTGGGCCACTGCAGTATTATCAAAAGTGTCAACATATGGAGGAAGTTTTTGAGAATTGGATCAAAGATCCCAAAATTCTTTGGTTTCACTGTGCCGTCACATAATTCATCAACGACAAAATCTTGGAGTGTTTCCACCCAACACGTGGTATGTCAAATCCACCGGTAGTGCATTCATCATATGAAAAATGTGGTTCAAGCATCGGGGCCACTAGGCACATGCAAAATGTGGTATTTTAGATATATTTAGTCATCCAATAAGTGTTCTTAGTCAAGTTGAGCATCCAATTCAGTTCTGGCCTTCCTTTGTACGTGCGGATGGTTAAGTAGATGACACATGGCCCATTCCAATGTCATTGGCAATGTATTAGTCCCCGCCCATGACATAACATAACCTAAAAAGTACTTTTTTCCAATAGAAAAGATCACTTTTTGCTATTTCTGGTCAATAACGCAGCAAAATAGTGCTATCCATGTAAGTTTTTTCCAATAGAAGATCATAAAGTTAGGAGACAAAGAGAAAGAGATTGCGAACCATTGAAGGGGGAAGGGGATGAGGGGGAGAAGATGCTGCAAACGTGTCCCATAATTTTTAATTTTTTAATTTTTTTGGGATAGAATAATTAAAAAGGTTCTTTGAATGAAACAAGGAGCACTTGTGAGGGTTAAGAGTACATACTAACTATATATGTTGTTGGATTAATCTAAGCGGCCCTTATTGAAGAGGTCCTCACAAGTCCTTAAATGAGCAGGACTAGTTTTATTACTAATCTTTTATAACAAGCGATAGAATTTTATTCGAACAACCGGAGTCATCCCAACGCGAGAGATTTATTACAAATCTTAGTGTCACCAAAGTTATATATTCATCAAAATTGTTTACCAAATAATATAGCCCATTGCCATATGACAATATATTACACAATAAAACAATAAAGGGGGTACATATGACAATATTTGGTTCAAGTTACAGAAAATATCCGATTCAATTTATTCATGACCCAAAGAAAATACTCGTTATGACATACAACGTACAAATTGAAATAACTTCCCACAATGATAATGCTTCGCAATTCTGGATATCAAACCGGCGTGCTTTACACATGACTTCTAATGGTAGAAGTTTAGACATTGTTAGGCCATATCAATTTCCTTCTCACTAACTCTCATCCAATCAAAGCATTGTATCAATAATCCCAAAGTCAAGCCCACCGTACGCTGGGCAAGGCCTGATCCCGGACAAGACCTTCTTCCCAGTCCAAATGGCATCAGTTGGTGTGACAAATCCTCACCACTCCGAAACCTCTCAGGTATGAAGCTTTCACTAGTAAAAAAAACCCCTTGCGCGACCAAACTTTGCGCGACGAAATAGAATTCGTCGCGCAAAGTCACTTTGTGCGATGAAAATTAAACTTCGTCACGCAAAGTCTTACGCGACTAAATTTTGCGCAACGAAACACAAATCGTTGCACAAAGTCACTTTGCGCGACGACAAAGCATCGTCGCGAAAAGTAACTTTGCGCGACGAAACACTTAAATTCGGTGCACAAAGTCTTGCGCGACGAAGTGTGGTTCGTCTCGTAAAGTCTTTTCAAAAATAAATTAAATAAAAAATTATTTTTAAAAATCTATGCATGACTTTGCGTGACGAAAGACAAAAATTTGGTGCACAAAGTCTTGCGCGACGAAGTGTCATTCGTCTCGCAAAGTCTTTACAAAAATAAAAAATTATTTTTAAAAATTTTTGGATGACTTTGCGCGACGAAATAATAATCTTCGTCTCACAAAGTCTTTACAAAAATAAATAAATAAAAAAAATTATTTTTTTAGAAAAATATATTATTGTAGTTCGGATTGGGTTTTTGTTAGAAAATATATATTTTAAATTGACGATCGAATTGGTTCATTGTATTCATATAGGGTCAAGGAGTGTAGTTGTAAAAAATCATCAAAATCGAAATTGAAATAACCATTAAATCGTGATTTTTCGTTTATAACCGTCGAAAGTTTTGTCCTATTACTTGATCTCTGAATGTTTATTTTTTCCGATTTTTGGCGTATATGATCTCGAAGT